TTCCATCCTAAAAGTAGGTATAGAATGCTGTATACGTGGGTTTAGATTTTTCCTGGGTGGTGCACTGGAATAACGCACCTGGTAACAAAGAACCTTGCCAAAGTTACCACTTATTTCCTCACATCATCATGCTGTTATACCTCTTCAACTATGCATCTTAATCTATCATTTTGTTGATATTACGGTTACTATTTGCGTTAATGAATATATGAATTTATTCATTCATTTTACAGTCATTTCTTATTTTAACCACCTATCATTTTTTATCACCTGCCATTCATCAAACCTTGTTGTAAGTAATAAATGAATGAAGAACTTTTGGTTGATCAAATAGCAGTTCCAACTTCCTTGTAGAATACAACTTCTTCCTAAAATCAGGCCGACTGATGATAGATTAATATTCAGTAGTATCAGTTCCACTAAGTTAATTCCCTAGCATTTCTGGTCTGACATTATAACTGAATATATTATTTTTGGGAAAGTAAAATATTACCATCAACTCTCAATTTTGTTCAGTAGGCAAGTCTTTCTGTCCTTCTTTGAAAAAGTTCTGGAAAATGCTTAGTCAGTTTAGAACTGTTAAAATCAATTAGCAAATATTAAAATTTCTAATATATTAAGAACATCTGCTCGTTACTCCTTATAGTTCAGTCATTTGACTCTTTTTTTCTTACTCTCTACAGCCCTTCTCAACAACCTTGTTTCTTAGAGCATCTATTCAGTTAGCTCCCAAGTCTGCCAACTTCTAATACTTACCTTCTCCTAATTTCCAGGACTGTATTTCCAAATTCTACCACATATCATAATAATACCAAAAAGCTCAGTATGTCAAAAAAGCAATATTGCTTTCCTGTCATAGAGTTAGCATTTTACTACTTACAAGAGGATTTAGATAGGTAAAGAAAAAGGGGTTCAAGGAGAACATTAAATAGTCTATTTATTGTAACCTAACTTTGAAGAACATAAAATTTGAGCTTGAATATTTAGCAAGAAAAATAAAAGACAATTCTAAGAAATTCTCCATATCAGGCTATTGGAATATTACTCCAAGATTTGGAGTCTTAATAAGTAAAAGCTAATTGTATAATTGATAGTAGTAAAATATCCTGCTTTGAACATGATAAAATGTTCAATAATATATGATAATAAGGCTGGGAATTTAATTCACTGGTGCCTGTGCCTGCCTCGCAAGCACAAGGTCCTGAGTTCATCCCCAGTACCAAAAAACAAACAAACAAAATAATAAATGATAATAAAATGTTTTAGTAACAAATGAGCAGTGTTTTCATTTGTGGAGCTACTACTTTTTACCTTCCACAGTGCTAAGAGCAGAAACTTGAAAAAGAAGGAATATTTTCATGTCAGTAATTTGACCCCAGTCCATTTATTAAAACAAGTCTGCTTTATAGATATTTTCTCTGCTTTGCTGATGAGGAACCTCAAGTACAGAAGATTAAACAGTCTATTAGTCCAGAAATTAGTCAGATCATGTGAAAATTTCTAAATTTAGTTATGACTGATTGCAGTTTTACCAAGCTGCACCCATCCTGCCCCCGCTGTCTGGGTCTCTGATTATAGTGGACTGGAGTATATCAGGGAAGGTAAATTCATCTACCCCCATTCCCTGAAACAAAACAATAAGCCAAATAATAAACACACCAAATCAGCACCTCCTTCTGATTTCAGTAGTGCTAACATTGTTCAACCTCACAACAAACTTGAAACCTAGGAGCCATCTTTGAGTTTCTTCTTTTTTAACTAATCAATTAATTGCTGGGTCTCATTGACTCTTCCTTAATTCTGTCTTTTGTATTCATCCCTTCTCTCTCCCTGCTGTCAGCATCCTACTTTATTAGCTGTTTCTCAGGTCCTTCTGAAACCATATTCATGGACACTCTGCCCCTGATTTCTCCCTCTACCAATCCTAGTTACTGCTTCTGATAAGACAGTATAGTTCTTAAGAGTCTGGACTCTGTAACTCCAAATGTGAGGGTCCACAACTCTAAATCCCTGTGATATAATCTCACCTTTCCTCATTTTAAAAATAATGATAATAACCTCCCAGGATTATTTTAAGAATCAAATAAATCAATATATATGATATTTGTATGAAAAATGCCTGGTACAAAGTACTCAATAAATGTTAATTGCTATTATTATTGTGTTCTTATTAAAATATGCTTTAGCCACAATACTTCACTTGAAGCTAACTTTAAAAATAAAAAAGGCCAGTGGCTGGTGATTTAACTCAGTGGTACTGTGCCTTCCTGATAAGCACAAGGAATGGAATTCAATCCCCAGTACAAAAAATAAACGAAATAAAATAAAAAAGCCCAAATCCATAATCTCTATGTTTATAAGCCAAGGGTTGAAATACAAAGCCCAGACAGATAAAAGTTTGAATGAAGAAAAGTGTTATTTTTTTATTTACTGTTTAACCCCCCATTAGGTTTATTGGTACAATTAAAGCAAACAATGCAGTTGCATTTATCACTGAGATCTTGTACCTTTATATGACATATCTTGGTTCTTATTTTTGCTCCATACCACTGTCCTTCCTTCACTCCCTACACCCTTTCCTATTAACAAAGACTTTTTATCCATTTTTTTCCTTTTTTCACGTTTTTTCTTCTCCCTCATTTCCTTTCCCCTCCCCTTCCCACTTCCCCATTTTCTATCTATTTCACACTCTCAATTATACCATTAGAGTTAATGCAAGAATGAAAGCTCATGTCCACCTTCCAAATTTATTTATTGATCTGGAGCCAGTGATAACACTGTGGAACTGTGCCCCTGTAAAACCTACTGAGCTTGTCCAGAATAGCACATAATGGTGACTAGCAGCTGGTCACTTGATGGAAGTAGTCCTATGAATTTTTACCCATGAAGAAGACTCACAAATTAATTCTTAAACATAAAATATTACAAAAAACATGCTTTTGTACTGAGATTTTCAGTTACTGGTAATAAGAAAAGAAAAATCAAGTAGGACGGAATTTGGAATAGTGACAGAAACAGATTTTAAGGCAGAAAAATTGGTATAGATACTCATAAAGACGCTTACACAAACATACACAAAGGGGCATACATGTGCATGGAAATATTGACTTTGATGTGATTAGCTTCTTAGTGTATGGTCTTTTAATACTCTGGCCCTTATTTTGCTCCTGCTTGTAAATATTATATATACCTAAGCTATAAACATATACTCACAACAGCTTCTCTCTCTCTCTCTCTCTCTCTCTCTCTCTCTCTCCCCCCCCCTTTCTTTTCTCATCAGTTCTGTGTGTGCTTACTTATATACACCTTGAAGGGAAGATATATGTGTGTGTGTGTGTGTGTGTGTATGCTCATTTCCCTTTATATCACCTCTATTGTGAAGCTTTTCATTACAAATTGTAGTTATAAGAGTTAAAAGTTTTTTTCTTCTTCAAAAATGACATCTCCAGAACTTGATTTCTGTTTACCTATCTAGAATAATGTGCTACTTTTATCACGAGTTACATTTCACAAGTGTCTGTATTGAGTTTCAGACTATACTATAAGCTTTTGAAAAATAAGTTGTGTGGACCAGGGATTTAGCTTAGATGTTCTGTTGCCTGCTTCGCAAGTACAAGGTCCTGAGTTTGATCCCTGGTACCAAAAAACAAGAAAAATAGGTGGCATGTGTTTTGTACTTGCCATGTGAATACTGAAGAAGGAATAGGACAATATTTGTATAATTATATCCTCTACATTTGAAAAGGCTATTCATAATTATGAGACCTACATAAATATGTTAACAGGTAGATATTTCCTGCATACTTGTTATATACCTCCCTGAAAAAAGCAAGAAAGCATGTAAAAGAATTAATAGAAAGCACAAGTTCACATCTGGGGAGTCAGATGCCCATAGCTAATGGGAAAGTTAATTTCAAAGAAGAAAACCATATAATATGACTTGCTTCTATATACAGAGGATATAGTCTAAGCAACAGCTGATTCTTTGCTTTTGAATGATATACCTTGGCTTAAATACTTTTGATTATATTGTCAAATTATTTTCATTTTATTTGTGGTTATCTCAATGCCTAATCTGTGTTCAACATTTATATTTTAGAAGGGAAGGTGTATGTGCTAAAAAAGGATATAATTCGGATAATTTCTTTTCATTGTATATGTGCATCTATAAATTCATTTGTGTTTACTCCCTCCCAGAATGCATTTGAAAAATGAATACTAGTTAAATAATTTGGAGCTATAGGAAATTAAAAACTAAAAATTCTTATTTTTAAGCACTATACTCTATACAAGTAATTAGAACCAAAGTTGAATTGTTTTGTAGAAAACCAATATATAATTTCTGAAAATGTTCTTGAAAGTAAGTTCATGTGATTTTTACCATTACCTAATTATTTAACGTAAACATCTATCAAGTAGATTAAATTCATTAGAATATATATAAATATTTAATATATTTAATTAATAGAAATAATCGATTTAAAAATTAAGTGCTCAATTAGTGCAACTTCTCTGATTTCAAATAACACAGTAATCGATACTTTTTTTTTAAAGGCAGGCCCGAACCACTGAGCTAAATCCCCAGCCCCAGTAATAGATACTTTTTAGGAAGTGTTCCATTTTTATTTTCTATTATCATATACATCTCATTTCACTCAGCTGAATTTCATATTTATAAATTTCCCTAATTCTCCTCAGAGAATTTGGCAGTTGGAATGTTATTGATGGCTAATGATTATGAAATCAACATATAGCAGGAGTTCACCTTCAATAATATTATATTAATGCTGTAAGGGCGATTTACTTTTATAAAACTGAATACCTAACAGTTTTTGAAACCTCACTAAAATATTACTTGGAAATATTTAAAAGAAAAATATTTTAGAAACCTAGAATTTTTATTTTATAGAAATTTTACAATATCATCTATGCAATTATTCCCACTAAAGAGATGAAATGCCTTAAATGTGTGTTCTCATTGAACATTACTTCTCTTACAGATGAGCTCAGTGAAAATGTTACAGCCTCGTCTCAATGGCATTCTTTTCAAGCTCACATTTGAAGAACATGTAAACAACATCAAGCCAACCATCATAGCAGTAACTCTGGCTTGTGAAGAACTGAAGAAAAGTGAAAGCTTTAATAAACTTTTAGAGTTAGTTCTTTTGGTTGGAAACTACATGAACTCAGGCTCAAGAAATGCCCAGTCTTTGGGTTTTAAGATCAACTTTCTTTGTAAGGTAAGATCATATTTTATATTGCTAATTCAGAACAACAGTGTTGTATATGGAAAGGGGCAATATAAATTCAAACAAAATAAATAAAAAATTACAGGTGTGAATTTTATGGCTGGTAACTTATATTTCGATTGAATTAAGTCATTTAAAAAAAATTCACTGCTGTAAAAGCCTCAGTGCTATGCAGATTCTTTTGGAGCATGGTACTTAGCTCTTGCAGGTTAAATCTTACCAGCCTTTACAGTCCAATATTTTTGCTTTCATAAAATGGATGCAAAATTGTTTTTCAGTCTCTTCCTACTTATTTTATGTTTCTCCAAATAGTATTGTTTGAGGAGATATATTTAATGAGGAAAATACCAGAAATTTGTTTTTGAATATGCTTTGCTTATTGTACTCTATGAAAATAATACTCTTCATTATTGAATAGTGTTGAGTCACTAAGCTTATACTCATTATTGAGTATATTAAGAAGGGAGCAAAATCAAATGTTAATTATTTTGTCATTTTGTTTCGGCCATTTCATAGTAATATTTTTTGAGTTTTAATTCTTTTGAAAAGAAAACAAAGAAACAGAGAAGCCCAAATGTGATTGTATATGTCCATTTTTGGCAAGGGCAAAGCTGCCTTAAGAAAAAGATCTCAGTGTTACAGGACAAAGCTGACCAGACATTGAGGCGTAGGCCTGTAAAGAAGCGAGATAGAAAAATAAATCTGAAAACAAGCAGTCTATCTTTGACATCTCACCGTTCATTCAGTTTTATTTTTCTTTCACATGTGAAACATTGTAGAATTTTGGTTAGTTCGTGAAGTATATTATAATAGAGATTTCAAATCTAGGAATGGAAATGAATATATTTTTTGTTCATACATTAAATGGATTGCATGTCCATGGATTAGCATTTTAATACGTATCAAAAGGATTTAATCCTTATAATTTAACTTAAATATACAAAAAGAGTACTTATTGATATTAAGATACATGATAATATAATTGTGGATTTCTATTTATTCCTGATAGATTTGGGGAAAATGTGATGATAGATAGCAAAGAAAATAGAGAAAGTTACATGAAAATATCAGGTTTTCTCAAGAAAATATTTGTATTCCTTATAAAATGTTGGTACATGTGAAATTGATAATGTGAGTGAGAATAAGGCAACGCATGTAATAAATCATAATCATAGTCAGATTAATTGGATAAAATAACTAAAAAACATTACATATAAATTTCACTTTTAATTCATATAACAGGATTTTAACAAATATTCCCCCTATGTTTTTAAGTGTCTTAATTTTACCTTATTTACATTGATCACATGAACTGATTCCTTGGAAGCAAAAATGAATAAGCTGTTTATATAAAGAAACAAAAAGTTATATTAATCTCAGAGAAGGATTTGGCAGTTACATTTTATATTTTGGAGAGAGGTTTCTCTCTGTCATCCACCTGTCAAATAAAAATTTTTCCATACAGCACTGATCTGACATCTATCACTAGAGGTATGCTCAAAGGGTTCAGCACAAAGATATTTGCCAACTTCAAATGAAATAAAAAATAATCTTGTGGGAAATACTATCATGTACTAATAAGTGTTCTAAAAGACAAAGAAGTAAAGGTTTTTAAATCCCCCTTCCACTTTTCAGTGGAATTTTATTCTTTCGGAAATACTTACAGGAAAACACTTGTCATTAATAAAAAGAAATAACATGTACACGCATGATATTCCCTTCATGTCTAGGATTAAAAATCTATTCCTGAAATACAAAGAATTCTGAGTAAGGTAAATGTCTAAAATGACAGAAATGTTTTGAAGTACATAGAAATAGTTTAAATTTGTGTAGTCAAAAGGGAATTAACTAACTAAAATCAAAGGGAATTACCCAAGTAGAATACTGATTATGCTTTCACAATGATACCATTTACTGACTTAAATTTTTCTAATGATAACTTCCTTTCAAAATGATTTTAAAAATGTAATTGACTGCTTTTCTTTTTTTTAATTGAGTTAATTGGTACATTTTAGGTACTGCTTTTCAGTATAAGTTATAAAATAATATAAAATATTTACCTAGTTAAAATGGAGCCAAGATGTAAGCAGTTAAATTTATCAGGTGTGTCTTGCATTGGAATGATGTAGAAATTCAGATGATCACCATTAGCTCCTGCAATATTTGGAAAGAGAAACAAAACAGATTGATTAACCAAAATGTCAAATAAAACTAAAATGTGTGATTATTGGAAGTACTACACTCACCACAAAATACTTTAATTTCAACAGTGAAATCACTTTGTTAGTCACCAAATCAGTGTGCTTAATTGTAATGAAAACCATTTCAGTGAAGATGAGTTCCTGATGTTAGCTTTGCCTGTACTTGCCTTTTAGTTATTAAAATTCTAATCCATAACAGTGCTACACTTCAGGCACATTTAATTTAGTTTTCAGTATGTAATAGTGTATATAATCTACAGAAGAACAAAACATTTAAAAATACTAAACACTCCCTATGTGCTTTATGGTTGTATCAGATAAGGATTTATGTTTGCATGCACCAGAGAGTGCAAAAAGTGGAATTTATTGGAAAGATCTGAGATAGCTCAGGCAGAAACAGGAAAGATGAAGAAGTTGGCCTTTAAAAGAACAGCAAATATGACTGAATCTAGGTAGTAGAAATGAATACCAAGCAGGGACAAGGGGAAAAAATGAGAACCAACACCTGTCATGTAAAGGTACAAGATCCCAATGATGAATGTAACTGTACTCTATACCTAAAATGTACCAATAAAAAAAATGAGGAAACAAAAAAGAAAAGAAATGAATGCCAAGTCTTTTGAAGATGTTGACTTGGGATGTATCAGCTCCAACCACTTTATTCTTATCCCTGCGTTTGATTCAAATTCTAGTTAGAGCAACAGATTAACCTATTGTAGTTTACAAAATCATTCATTGACTAAGGGCAAAGAACATTGACTCACTTTGCTCCCAAGAGTACTTGCAACAGATTAACCTATTGTAGTTTACAAAATCATTCATTGACTAAGAGCAAAGAACATTGACTCACTTTGCTACCAAGAGTACTTAAAATGGCAGATTGATCTTGATGTAAGTGATGCTGTTACAGAAGATAACAATGCCAAAAATGAAGGTGTTTCAGGCAATCACAAAGACAAGATAGAAGTAATGGCCTACCAAACCAAGAGGATACAAATTATGTAATACTTAGCAACCTCAAAAATTTTGTGTAGTCTAGTAGCTGGGAAGATTATATGACATAACAGGTAGAGTTGATAAATGCAAAAATTAATAGCTATCGAAATAAGTATTTCAGAGGAGGAAGGGAATCATTGGTGCTGAGGGATTCATTAGTAAGTATGAAACAAGAATTTTGAAGGATACTAGGATTAAGGTATAAAAAGAGAAGTTATGACTGTACAAGAGTGGAGAGCACTATGAACTTAGAGTATTTTAACTTCCACCTTGTCAGTTACCACCCGGATGTTTGTAGCTAAGGCATTTGCCTTCTCTGAACCTCAGTTTTTTCATCTATAATTGAGGAAATGCAATGACCCTTGTTTATTTTCATATATTTTTTCAGAGTTAAATAAAATGATCTATAGTGTACTATGTTAGAATAAATTGAAAAATAATATAATGTTAATGAAATGGTAATACTTCTTTTGAAGGATAATATAAAACTAGGAAATATCAATGTTTACAAGGATGAATTAAAAAAATCACATTTCCTGGAATATTGGGTTCAGGTTGGGAATCATATAATGACATTGGCAGGCAAGTTGTGAGAAGTTCCTGAGCGTTTTAAACATTAATTTAGATATCTTGACTCTATAACTATTTATGCAAGTCATTCACAGCCCATTTAATAATTTATAAAAGCTAATAAACTTTTTTGGTATTCTAACCAGAAACTTTCCTCCATACGTTTAGATATTATTGCCTTTGGCTGTATTATGACTTTTTAGTTAGTATGCTTAGACAGAAAGACACAAGTTATGATACATTCTGATGGTATGCTTAAATACAGATGTGAAATATCTCATAGAAAGGCACTGAAGAAAACACGTGGGCTCACTGTATAGAAAATTTTAGATATCTTACTGTAAGTCACTATTAACACAGTAGTATAATTGTGCTACATTTATGACATGTATGGTAGAATGGCAACAACAAAGAACCATATACAAATATAATCAGGGGCCAGGGATTTAGCTCAGTGGTTCTGCCACCTGCCTCACAAGCAGAAGGCCCTGAGTTTGATCACAAGTACCCCCCCAATACATATATATATATATTGTGTGTATATATATACACACACACACACACACACACACACAAATACAACTACATATTTGTAATTGTAATGACTGAGTATTTTAGCCATCACTCCTAAAATACAAAATACATCCATTCCCTCCCTAGTAGTTGTAAGAAAAGAAGTAACATAAGTTTAGCTTCATTGTGAAATAAATGTTGTAATAAAATATATGATCCATCAGGAAAAATTGACTACTGCCTATAACACTATGATTTTCAAATGTATAATCTAAGAGAAAATCTACAAAGACCACAACAAAAGACATATGTAAATATTGCAAAAGTTTCAGTGTCTAATCACATTTTACACAAAATGATATGGATTATGTCCATTCAGACATAGAATTCTAGTATAAGACAACATCTAATGTAGCCTCTTGAGTCTATAGTAAGAAAATTGATGCTCAGAGAGACAAAATACTTTGTTTACCATATTGGTTAGCGTGGGCTGTCATAACCATACCACAGGAATTTATTTTCTCACCATTTTGGAGATTAGGTATTTTAAGATGATGATGATTGGTTTCTGGTGATTATTCTCTTCTATGACCATTTTCTCATTGTACCCTCACTTGGAGATTATAACATACAGTTTTATTTTTCTTCTTTACCAGACTCAGAATTCATGAAATTTGACTAGATACTTTATTTTGCATTAAATCCCCCATG